GCTTCGCAGACAACGATGATCAAAGACTTGAAGGCGCCTCAGATCTTCAGTGACTAGTGACTGCTGCAACAGCGTCTCCGAATGCGTGCAACCAATAGCGAGAAGAAGAGTGCAGTTAATTCAATCCCTTGAGTGTCATTGATCTTAGTTTCGGACAGACAACACACGTCGGTAAACAATTTGTCCAACGTACCTCCGAGTGTAGCCTGCTGAGCTATTTATCTTAGAGTGCGAATGTTGAACACCGCCAGGGAAAGGAAGCGTGGAGTTACAAAGGGTTGTTGACGACAGACAGGAAGATAGCTGCAGACGGTATAACTGCACTGGCATTACGGCTGCTGTCAAGCTGGGAATTATGGAAGGATAGTTATGGTAGTCAGGGGGAGTAAAAGAAACAGATGGAGAAAGAAAAAGGGAGCCGCCAGTGGTAGGATGTTTTCGCTATCCGCCTTTCTGTTTGTAGCAGATAAGGGGACTCCATGTAAAGCAGCGCGACGGCCGGTGCAGGATGTGATTGTATTTTAATAAGACAATTCGGGTTTTATGTGAGCTGAGATACTAGGAGTTCTAGGCAGGAAAACGATTAAGGTACACAAGCAAAGCTTTTGCCTCAGAAGCCTATCTGAAGGCGCGGGTTCGAGTCCGAATAAGGACCGGGCGACCCTCACATTATCCTTATCCCAAGTGCGACTGGTGGCAGTTGCGCGGCAGTGAAGTGTCTGTACTGCGTACTCACGTACTGCTGATGGGAGGGCACGGGTTCGAGACTGCGTATGGGGCTGGGCGACCATCACAGTATCCTTAGCCCGCGTGCGACCGGTGGTGGTTAGACGGCAACGAAGCGTCGGTGCTACTGATGCCTTTCTTTATACCAAAAAGGCAGCGGGAATGCGGTAATGATTTGAGTTTACAGAAATAGATGCCACCCCAAATTCAACCCCCAACCTGGAGGATCAGGAGACTGAGTTTGACTGACCTCTAACCACTGACCAACCTGGCAGGAGTAGCTTTCAAGCAGCCCGGAGCACCAACAAGTATAGTTCAACGCATCGAAGAGGCACGAAAACCGTCGTACAACATAAAGATCCTGTCTGTTTACGAGGATTAAGCCAAGATAGTCCAAAATGATGAGCATTTTAAGTATAGCAACGTTCAAATGTGGACAATGCACACTTAACGGAAGCGGAATTTAAGCCTAACTTTGGCTAACTCGTCTCTCAATGGGAACTGTGACCCACTACAGCATGGTACATGTCAGTAATTTGAAGACAACAGAGACGAGGTTAGTAAAGGATCATCTCGATAAAACGTCGTCGGGGGACAATGGTTAATAACCACGAATCAGGCACTTATTCGCTGCGTCAGGGTTCAGTGCTATTGAAGCCAAATTTCGCTTTATGTGCCAACATTGCTCCGTTAGTAGCTAATCGATAATCTTGTGTTGACGTATATTACCAATGGTTGAGGGCAAAACGATCCAGTGGAGTGGGTGGGTGCCACATAAGATTGATGCAGGCGATTATGCTACAAATCTGGCTATCAGCGTAGAAGGTGTGATTAGTAGAGAATTGAAGAAATCAGTGCCCAGTCAGTGCGACAACTATAGACCGAGTAAGGTCAACCACAGAGAGGCTGATTCTGATAGACAACCAAATGGATCATTTTTACGGCCCGCAGCGATCGTAACACCCTTGCTTATAGTGAGAGCAGTTACATAGAGAACCTGCTGGTGGATATCAGTGCTGAGAACCATCGGGTTGAAGTCGGCGGGAGCATAAACTGAAGGCAAAAAAGAGTTTTAATCGATCGCTGCATACTAACTCCGATGGGGCACCGGAGCCGAATGGTGAACAAGCGACTGTTCACTGGGATCCACTCCAGAAAAGTAATCACCACCCGTTCGCTGAAAGTGGTTGCAACGCCGCAAATACCGCGAACCAAAAATAGTGTGCAGACGCAATCATGGGGAAGAGAGTCACGTAAGCGCAGATGCATGGGCGACACAACACACCTGAAAGGGTGAAATGCCACTGTGTCGCCTGTTGACTAAACTGTTACAATGTCCAGGGCACTTATGGGCCGGAGTTAGAACGGTGCACCATGCATGAGAAATAGCCTGTCTCATCTGATGTCGTGAGTTGGTAAAGATCCACAAAAAAGAGTATTAGTGCGAACGAAGGGAGGGATAAGGCTAAGAACTACTTGTGACAGTGTTTGGAAGCCAGATGATATTCCATGGCTGCTCAACAGTCCGATCAACAAAGCAATCAGAAAAGCAGATCCAACCAGGCAGTCCCACTTAAATCTGCTGAAACACTAAGTCGTGGAGGATTAAAACTAATTCATACACTTTTTCCATCGTCTATGACCAAAGCGAGTTGGATAAAGGTTTTGACGAAAAGGAAGCCTTCCAACCAAAGGCTATATGCATTGACGCGTGCAACAACAAACCAATGAGTAAGTGGTTACTTCACTATTAGAAATAACCAGCGACGCTACGGATCTAAGACAATGGAAAAGAAAAAAATAAATCGCCAGCTGTACGCCGTAACGGCGTTTCGCTGCCACGCGATCACCACCAGTTGCGCGTGGGCTGAGTATACCGCGAGGACGTCCGCTCCTACGCGGATTCGAACCCGTGACCTAACGGTTGCAAACCAGACGCGCATACCACTCAGCCACCGGCCGACATTGTTTAGTTACAAAGAAAAAGCACTGTCAACCTCTCTCGACTCTAAGAAAAAGGAAAATGCTGAGACTGGGTCTGTCTGACAATCAGGCGCTGATGTGTCTGTGTGCCATGAGTAACGGTGGTGGCATCTGTGTAGCATGGTCGTGTAGTCAGTCGGGGCACAAAGAGACGCAAAACATCGCGTTATAGTAATGTTTAGCTTAGTCGCGAATGCTACAAAATGCATCAAAGCAAAATAAATAAACGGTTTGTTCCTCGGTGGCGTGAGGCACAGTTCAACTGAGTAGCCTGATCAATCAATGGGGTGTGGGATGTCAACATGGGTTACCAGACGACAGGAATTTCCGAGGTACTATCAAATGGGATGAGAGTCAAACCAAAAAGTGTTGTGGTGTGTTAGGGCAGAATTTCTCCTAACCTCAGTAGTGGTAGACACAAGATTATATTCCGTAAAAACAAGCAACAACAATTAGTCATGCTCCAGGAGAGGTACAACGGGAATCTTTTGTTGTATGGTAGGTAAACTATCCTGAAGATAATTAAACTCATCGATGATCAAATACCCAATCCTCAACATATACACTTGGTGGCTGGGCAATGCGATGATTGAGACATAGTTGTTCAGTTGGCATTGAGACATAGTTGGCAGCATCCGGTTTCGGAATTGCCTGTCACTGTAGCCAGCCACAGGACGCCTGCGCCTACAGAAGGACCATGGGTGACTTGAGCTGCACCACCCACAGCTCCAACCACACACCCCATATCCAGTGTAAACCAGAAGGAATAAGACCGAGAGGCAGGTGGATGGGAGCCACGTTTCATCAACGGAGCCGGCCCACACTCCTTCACAGACAAACACAAGCACGCTGTATTTGGGGAATCAAGCGCACACAAGGCGGTGGCTGGACCGTAGTCCGCTCCATACTGAGTGCATGAAAACACTCTTCGAACCTAGCACGGCCACAAGAACCGTGCACCCTGTCCTCTCCAGAAACGACCAACTGTTTCCTGGAGCCAGTATGGACGAGGTAATGAGTAATAGACAGGTAGGCACTTTGTCAAGATGCACACCAGGCGCAGCCACGCCGGGGATATCAAACAACAGGTAATCACTTGAAATAACATTATGAAATAAAGTACACCTGTTAAAGCACACGGTTATGCCGAGTCTTCCCATAGTTTGCATATGAAGTAAGTTGGTTAACAACGAACCCGCGATGAATACGAAATGTTCAGAAGTTACTCAAAAATGCTACAAACGCAATAAAGTTAACGAACATAATCACAATTGGTGTAAACAACGTGGCCAGTTAATAGATTATTCAGGTAGGCAGGACAAACTAAATAAAGTTGAATGAAATTTATCCAACTTAAAAAGACCTAGTTTAAGTGTAAGTTGGTTTAGCCTAACTGCGGTGAAGCATCATGAATGCAACATCAGCCTAAGCATGGGGCATTGAAACATAATGTATTGGTTAGACTCAAGAGTCGTGGTCAATGCGAGTGTGGACTACTAGACCACTCAGATCCTCAAATACGCTCAAACTGCATTATTTGAGCTGAGAAAATGTACAAACCGGCACCGATTGCATGTATAGACTGTTGGCCTCCGACACAACATCATCGTTTACGTCCAATCCAGGATGCAATAGGTGCACATGGTCACATTAACAGCCAGACAATTAGCTTAAACCGGTAAAGGAGAACAAAACGTATCAAGTTGTGGAGGTTCAACTGCTCGCTGAGCTTGGAAATTTTGTTGCAAACCTTTCGTCACCACTCGAGGTGATATCATCAGTGCGTAGTTGAGTGGAGTGCAGTAGCGTATAGGAGCCTCGGTGAGAGTGGCCCTCCCACCGAGGCTCCTCTACGCTACTGCACCCCACTCAACTACGCACTGATGATATCACCTCGAGTGGTGACGAAAGGTTTGCAACAAAATTTCCAAGCTCAGCGAGCAGTTCAACTGCCATCTGAACAACCTGAGCTACCAGTCTTCAATTATGTATCAAGTTGTGCTAAGTGTGAGGGGTGCACAATGGTAATTTTGGGATTACCAGTTGTGTGCGGAATGCGACACGAAACCACAATTCAAATAGGTGTTCATAGTAAAGTAAAATTCGAGTACGTCAATTACGCAGTATAATTGGGCGAGCGGCATTTGGAAATCCTCGGATGAAAGATAAAACAAAAATGCGAACGACAGATGATCAATTGGATTACAGAAAAACCCAGTGGCTGTGTAAACGGTGTGGGCAAAAGCCGTCATACTTAGGCACAGGAAAGGGTATCAAACGGTTACACTTACCCGGCTTTGGCGTACCCATAAAGAATCTGGGAGAATATATAGGCATCCGGTTTTAGGTTTGCTTGTTTTAATTCCTGAATGATAGAGCTTCAAGGAACAGAGTTAAATTGAGCGGACCTTACCTCGTTTCTTCCATGTCACCTTTAGAGCAACACTGATGAATGAATGAACTGTAGGTACGCTGCAAAAAATCGCGAATATAAAAGACGTGACATACTGTGTTCGGCGTCAAGCCCTTTTCCTGCAAGTCGTTCAGCACGGAACCACGATCCACGTCCAGCCCGCAGTCGAGCTTGGCAAAGAGGTAGGCATTGACAGTTAATATATTCGTATCAGGAGACGACATAAGAAAATCCCACATTTCTGAGAAACGCCTAGACCGCGCTTCTCTGTCCAGCAGTAAGGATGAGACACGATGAGCATCAATCGTTTGCAGTACGTTTGCTTGACTGCGGTGGGTCGCAACTGATTGTGAGGAAACAGATGTTTTAACGGCAACATTGGAGGAGCTGCGATAAACAACCGGCCAGTTGGATGGGTGCGTTGATAAGCCAAAAGGGGACGTCAGCCCAAGGTAAGTGTTTGAAGGAAAGAAAGAACGTCGAAGACGAGCAATAAAACGAAAGCGCGATATCATACTTGTCACGGTTGTGATCCACGGCGGTGGACAAATGGAACAGACCAAAGATGCTGTAATGCAAAAACAGAGATCTAGTAACAAAATCTAAGAGAATACACAGTCAAATACAGACACGCCAAGGTAGAAGAAGCACGGTAAAAGTGCCGATAAATTTTGTTACCAGTAGGTTGCCCTGTCTTCCAGAAGTATCGAACGCGTTCTTCTGCCGTACTTCGTGTAGCAATCGTCCAAGTAAAGAAATTTCACAGTTGTGTGACAGTAATATCAACAACAGAACAAGAAAGGAAAGAAAGAAAGGTGTCAGCTTATACGCCGTAACGGCGCTTCGCTGCCGCGCGACCGCCACCAGTCGCGCGCGGGCTGAGTATACCGCGAGGACGCCCACCCCTACGCGGAGTCGAACCGGTGACCTTATGGTTGCAAAGCAAACGTGCAGACCACTCGGCCACCGGCCGACAACAACAGAACAAAGCAAATGGCATCTTTCGCGGGACACTTAAGGCGGGGTGTTTAGTATATCCAAATAAATAGCATATTGCCACTGACACAATTGATTCAGCCGCAGATGAGTCAATGGAGTGATGATGAGTAAGAGAAGCAGAATTTATCGAGGCACAGGGAAGTTTCAGTTCCATAAAACTGTGACTGTTTCAGAGCAACTTCCAGCGACCTTGCCACATCATAAACAGCTTGAAAGTTTAAAACAGGCTGCTTCAAGGAGGCTCGTTTGAATGATGATCGAATGTAAGCCGGTTAAAAAAGGCATCACACATGGCATCGTCGCAATATTCGTCGGCTGAGACAGAGCGAAAATGGAAGTCCTTTGCAAAAAGTTTGACGCTTTGCACAAACTGGTCGGTATGTTGTTCACATTCCTGCTTGTACGTAACTAAATAATGATAAATCGCCAACTGTACGCCGTAACGGCGCTTCGCTGCCACGAGACCACCAGTCGCGCGTGGGCTGAGTATACCGCGAAGACTTCCGCCCCAACACGGATTCGAACCGGTGACCTTATGGCTGCAAACCAGACCCGCATATCACTCGGCCACCGGCGATATGCTGATATACGGAAGGAGACAGAAAGCTGACAAGAATGTTCAGATTATCCGAGTCGTCAGATTGAACTCGCTTTAGAAAGTCACTGAATGTTCGAAGCCAATAGGTCCACTGTTTGGAGGCATCTGGAGCATCCAAATCAGTGTCGAATGTATCAGGACGAAGATAACGGTGCATGGTGTTGTTGGACCAGTAAATTGGTGCGTTGGATCGTGGCCGCAGGACAGACAAAATAACAAGGAGTAGGAAGCATGCGCTTTACTGGTCTAACAACGAGAGTACATCAGCCGAAAGATAATAGAGATGACTATGATGTAACATGTAAAAAGGGCAAGTGTATGCTTACGACACCATCCCACGATAAGGCAAGTCTTACGGTTTGGAAGCCGGTTTTTTAGAATCCACCTACGCAAAATACGCAAAGTGGGAGGAGGGGATATCGATACCTTTTGCAAAGGGCAGTGGGTGCGCAACGGTCCCAAGCGCTTTGGGTTTGGAAGCTGGTTTTGTAGACTACATGCCTGCGCAAGACGAAAAGTAAGACGAGAAGACGGCGGCACTTGTAAACAGCAAGGAGTATATGACAAATGCACCATATTTTACCTTGAATTGATCATTTCCCTTCCTCCGCTTTTATGATCAGTGAAAAAGGCTGAGCTGCTCGAGCAGTAAAAACGGAATGAAAAACACTGTCAGAGAGGTAATCAGTAACAGATAAGCCCATTGTGAACGAGAAATAAGTGGGCGTTTTTGAATCTGACGGCTTGTTGAGGTTTTAGTGGATCGTTGGGCAAAACGTTCGAGTCCTGAGGCAAAATACAACCCCAGCTGAAAACTAACAGTCGAAGAACGGTCAGACAAGCGTATGGTACAATTCCTTCTCTGGTTACCGTCTGTTAGAAGCTGACTGCAGATTCGGAGCTCTATATCCAACCACTGAAAAAGTTGAGGCGGCAGCGCACACTCGAACAGCACCACACGAAGTGAACATGACATGAACGCGTTCAAGTGTGTGTATTCAAGATTCGCCATCATTTATAGCACAGAGGCATGCCGCCGACTCGTAAGAGTAATGCGCGCTACCGGCGAGCCCCAATAGGACGAAATGGCCGTTTAGCGCTTTCCTGGATGCGCAGTGGCTGTCTTGCGAAGTCTAACTGCGAGATATATTCTCAAAAATCCCCCTCTACGATAAGGCTTTTTGATACTACCGATTACAGGCATCTCATTGCATGCCATCAGATGACTGAAAAAGAACACATTGCCACATACGACTGCCGAATCAGCTGGGGGGAGAGGCAGGAACCAAGGACAACTTTCATCAACATTCATAGCAGGGATAAGTCAGACTGTGAAAAATCAGCAGAGAAGAGATATGTGAAACATTCAACGGTAGCAAGCCATGAAAGGCAACGAGAGCAATAATTTGATGTACCAGGGGGTGACATCAAGAAATCGACTTATCAAAAAAGCGAAAAACTCCAATATGAGCTAAAGCACAGAGGACACAGGAAAGTAGAAGTGTAATCCCGCTGACTGCCAACAAAAACGGTAAATAAAAGGTAATGTTCCAAGGAAATCCGCCTATTACAACTGAAAGACGATAAGCAGCAAGAAGGACTAGAACGATGGGATTATCCTCTGGTTCAACGAATTACTAAAGAATAAATAATTCCGGTTATACTTGAACATATACAAACAGCCGACGAAGTATTTTGATGTATTCAGTACATAAATTCACAGTCTGTCAACCGACATTGTGCAAACAAAACTATGGCAGAAAAATGTGGAGGATAGAAACACGAACTGAATACTGTATTTTGGAGCAAGTAGAAAATAATTCTGTACAACTCCATCGGGTGATAATCAAAAACAAAAAAAAATAAATAAATAAACACGTCCGGTGGTTATCCTGAGATGGTTCAGCAACTCCTTCTGTAGCACACAAAATGCGTGTTCACACAGTGAGTCACAAGTGGGTGATATCGTTTTCAAGTGGCAACCGTTCTATGAAACGTATGTTAGCGAAGTGTAAATCCAACAAAGATTTGAATTTCTGCACAGACTCGGCCTCGACGACGTGTTCTGGCAGACTGTTCCAGGCGTGCACAACCCTCCGCTCGAAACACAGGGGGTGTGGGGTTTTCTTCAGATCAGGTACCACGAGTTTGTACCTGTGCCCAAGTGTGGTGCATGGTACTCGCAAGTGGAGTAACGACCTCAGCATGGGGAAATGACCGAGATGTAAAATACGGTAGGTCATGATAAGATCCACTCGAACACAGCAATACGACAAGGTGTAGAACCCAAGTTTCATGCACCGGTTTTCATACGATAAGCCTCTCAAGCTGGAGATCAACTTGGTGGCGACGTGTTGTACTCAGAAGCGGAAGTAGAATACAGAAGCAAAATGGAATACGATTTTTTTGGTTTTAGCCACGTTATTTTGAATTTGTTTTGTGAGTTTTTGTGTGTATTAAAGGGGGAATATAATGGCAGAACAACATTGACGCCACTGAGGTCTGTTGCAGACCATGACGTCCAATGTTTCCAGCCACTGCGATTCAGCATCTCGTGGTCCCCAACCTGGAAGACGGACTGGTCCGAGTGGCGCCAAACCTGTTGCCTTCTTCAAGCTCCTTCTCCACATTACTGGCTGTCCACCGCGGCACTTTTTCCAATTGCTCTCTGGGAGTGCAAATAGTGCCCGACGTGTTAGGTGATGGGCTGGCATGCGCAAAAGGTGCCCGAGCCAACGCATGCGATGTCGGAGAATAACCTTCGGAAGACTGGCACTACTCGCTCCGAGCACTCGGTCTCGCACCTCTGCGTTGTTTACGTGGTGTTGCCACCACACTCGAGCAATCCTTCGTAGACAGCGAGGGTCGAAGACTGACAGCCGCTTCATGTCTTTCAAGTGAACATGCCAAGTCTCACAGCCGTACAAGAGCATTGCAAGGACGGAAGCATTGTACATCCTGCCCTTGCGCTTGAGACTGATATCACCACGACGCCATAGGTGTCTCAGTTTGATGGATTCAAGGCGGACCTTTGCAATCCGTTGTGAGATTCCATCTTCAATACCGCCACCAGACGTGATGCAACTCCCTAGATAAGTAAAGCAAGGGGCTTGCTCCAGAACATGCCCAGCGGTGGTGAGCGTGGGTTCAGGCACCTGCCAGTCCTGTAGCAAAGTTTTATATTTTGCCGGAGTGAACTATAAGCCTTACTTAGACGCCTTCATCGCTAAGCGGCCCAAAGCGTTCTGAACAGTTTGTGCGTCGTCCCCCAGCAAGGCGATATCATCGCCGTAGTCCAAGTAATGAATCTGTCTCCAGGGAAGTGCGAAGTCTTGTCTGGGTTGCACGAGAAAGGGTCTTGATAGCATGCAACGTTTCTGGCCGCAGCGACATCGGAACATTCTTGCGTTTCACTGTGGGGTATTTCCTCTTCTCTGAAAAATCTGCACGAATTACTGCAAAAGCCGCCTCCCTCACTGTGCCGCGATACCTGTTTCTTTTGAATTTGGAACTCGCTTGTAACCTTGGAGTATACGCGCATCTCAATTGGTGCGCCTTTTGATAATGATGATTTTTGTGGGCGTAATTTCTCACAGAATGTCTATCATCACCGTTTCATAATGCAGTCGGGGGCTTCCGGTTCAGCACATTTCCATTCACATTTTGGCCACAAATGACTGTATGACAGGACTGGGGTTCTTCTCTGAAACCTGGAGTTTCAATCATTTCTGGGTCATGATTCAACCTAAGCAGCTTGTGGCATTCAGATAAAAGTTCCTGGGATGATACCTCGGTGCCGGTTCCCATTCCACTTGAATGTTGAGTCTTTCTGATAGCAAGTGAATTAACTGCCGCTGTGATTTTTCAAACTGAAGCTGCCACTGCTGAAATAGGGATTGCATCTGCTCGAATGAAACG